TTTGTCTATGTCCTGTGACCTGTGACCTGGTGATGTGGTGTCTTTAGGTATTTTCAACAGTAATGTTTTGCCATCTACTTCCAGTGAGCAGCCAATAACAATGCCTGTTATAGGAATTAACCACAGACTGACATGGTCTGTCCAGAAGATTCAAACCATACTCAGGAAGTGGAGGAAGTTATTCTTCATTATATACGGGCCACAATCAAGGCAAAACCTTTGTTCCAGAGAAATTAAGGCCCTGACCAGAAATACATACACATTTTTAATAGGATTATTTTCATGTCATCCCTTGGCAGCAATCATATTGGTCGATTTGAAACTTCCAGCATAGTGTATGTGCCCCTTAGATTATTATAGGATATTTAAACAGTCAGCATTTTGCAAGAAAGCAGATGTTCTGGGCAAGTAAGGGGTAACTTCCCAGTAAGGTGATCATGCTAATACAATTTTTGCTGTTTTACCAAATAAGACACGTGGTATCTGGTGCTCCCTGAAAGACCACTGCAAGAGGCAGCATTTTCTTTTTTATAATATTTTATTTATTATTTTTATTTTATGTTTATGAATGTATTGCCTGCATGTACATAAGTGCACCCATGTCATACAATGCCTGCGGAGGACAGAGAGGGTGTTGGATCTCCTGGAACTGGAATTACATAATGTGGTTAGCTAACAAGTGTGTGCTGAGAATCAAACTCAGATACCTCTAGAAGAGCAGTCAGTGCTCTTAACTGCTGAGCCATCTCTCCAACCTCAAGGCAGCGTTTTCTAAGGTGCTCGCAGACTGCGGTTTTTATGGTTGTCTGCCTTGTCTTATCTCAGCCTGAGACTGAGATCAGTGTGGCATTTATGATTCGAAGAGAAGTAGAATCTTCCAGAGTCCTGTTATTTCTACACATATCAACAAGCATACTTATTATTAGGAATATACAAAGTTCTCATGAAATACATTTGTTAGTACTTAATTCATCTACCACACAGAATAAAGTTATACTGAGGTCATAGCTCATTAATTCTACATTATGTTAATTTTTGTCATCATGCCAATTTGCATTTTTAGTGGGGGAGGCCCAGGATCCTCCCTGACCCAACAGCTCATAGGGAGGCAGGCCACTCCTGGAACTGGAAATCTTATTGAATAACCTATGGCTTCCAGGAGACAAGCTGGAGGATTCATAATCTGTGTGTGTGTGTGTGTGTGTGTGTGTGTGTGTTGCACTCACCTGTGCATGCATCTATGGAGGCTAGAAGTTGATATTGGGTGTCTTCCTCAGTCATTTCTCCATTTTCTTTCTTTGAGACATGGAATTTGGAGCTCACCAATTCGGCTAAACTGGCTGACCAGTAAGTCACAGGGATCCTCCTGTCTCTACCTCACCAGCTCTGGGATTCTAGATGCACACTACCACCCCTGGTTTTTTATATGGGTGCTGGGGATACAAACTCAGGTCTTCATGTTTGTGCAGCAAGCACTTTACTAGTGGAGTCATCTCCCTAGCCTCATGCACTGGTTGCATTTAGAGCACAGCCACATTGGAGTGAATATAAATGCTCCCTGAGTAGACAGACTGCCAGGGAAGTATTGTCGGCTTATATCTATGGTTGCCAGACAACTCTTTGTGTTTCTACCTTTGTTTATGCAAATGTGAATCTGCATAAGAATATAAATGTGTTCTTAAGTATAAAAGTGGTCAAAGTATTTGAATACATATATTCAAAGAAGATAAATAAATAGAAAATAGGCACATGAAAAAATACTCAACATCATTAGAAACTAGAGAAACGAAAATAAAATATATAATGACATGCTACTTTACACCTACTAAGACAGCAATAATAAAAAAAATAAAATAATGAACGCTGGATAGTATGTAGAGGCACTGGAATATTTATGTGCTCTATAAAAGAATATATGAATCCTGAAGATATTTATAGTCATAGATAAATTTATTTATGTTACAAGGGACAGATTCTAAATAACTAAAATAATCTTGCATGTGAATATGAATCTTAATGAAAGCTTATATTGGAAATCCTACAGCACAAGCCCATAATCCCATTACTGTGGGGAGCCTTAATCAGATGAATTCTAAGTTTGAGATCAGCATGGGCCACATAGCAAGCTCCAAGATTCCAGAGCAGCTTAAGTTACTTAACAAGACCCTCTTTCAACATACACACACACACACACACACACACACACACACACACAATTTTTTTTAAAGAATAACAACCTAATCTGCCATCTTTATCATCATAATAGCTTATGACTGCTAATCAACCTTGCATAAAGCTTCTGACATTGAACAAATTGGTTCAACCAAAGCTGAAGCTCATATGTTCTTTGATGTTCATGATCTTCAGAGTCAATGATCAATCTAAGGCATTGACATTTTTTAAGGAAGTCATCTGGCCTGGGGTTCTAAAGATAAGCAGAAGATAGGCTCAGCCTCAAGAGTACATGATAGGTAAAGATATGGACTTATGGTAAAAGGGAATGAACTGCCTAATAATGATCGACATATGTTGTCTCTGGATTGAGAGACTGACCTACTACTGACAGCATTCAAGTCAAAGCCACTGAATATTTCTCAAAACTGTTGAGGTCTCCCAGGATATGGATGCTAACAGAAAGGTAACTGTGTGAAACATTGTTGTAATGCTTTATCCTACCACATCTCTTGCCCATGGCAGGCCTGATTTTCCTGGCTGAAGTTTTTTTTTGTTGTTGTTGTTTTTGTTTTTTCTCAGCTTTTTACAAAAATTTTTGTTCACTACTTTTATTTATGTGTATGAGTGTATTGCCTGCTTGTGTGTACGTGCACCATGTTGTACAATGCCCACCAAGGTCAAAAGAGGGCGTTGGATCTCCTGGAACTGGAATTATGCCATGTGGGTGCTGGAATTCAAATCCACATCTTCTCCAAGAGCAGTCAGTGCTCTTAACCACTGAACCGTCTCTCCAGTCCCACGTTTTTCTTTTCTTTTTTCTTAAGGAAGGAAGGTTTATTTGGGCTCATGGCTTTGAGGATGCAGACCATCCTGGCATGAAAGTCATGGTGGTAGAAGGTGACACAGTTGGCCATATTGTGTTTGAGTCACCCAAGGTGCTAAAGAGATGCCTTCGAGATTAAAGCCTTTGTAGAGGACCCAGGTTTGGTTCTCAGCACCCACATGGCAGTTAAGAATTTTCTGTAACTCCAGTTCCTAAGGATCCAAAGCCATCTTCTGGCCTCTGTTGGCACTGTATACACATGGTGCACATACATACATGTAGATAAAACACTCATACACATCAATAAAAAATAATTTTTTTGGTCTTTTTGATACAGGGTCTCCCTGTTACCCCAGCTGGCCTGGAACTCACTATGTCGACCAGGCTGGCCTTGAACTCACAGAAATCTGCCTGCCTCTGCCTCCCGAGTGCTGGGATTAAAGGCATGCACCACCACACCCGGCAAAAAAATATTTTTTAAATAAAAAATATGTCATCCAATCTAGTATTTACTGTCAGGTGTAATGTTTATCATGTAATTAATGCATAAATATCTTTTAGAACAAAAATGTTTTTTGAATGTCAGTTATGCCATGGGGGTTGTAATATCTGCTCAGTTTTAGAAGACAGAGCAACAATATCTGATAGACAATAGTAGAGAAAAAAGAATGCCAGTGGCTTGTCCTCTGGTGAGGCAATATAGAAGCTGTTCAATTAGTGGCAAGATGCTGCTGCTAAATTCACATCATTTTAGTTTTTTCTTCTTAATGATTAAAAAGAGGAAGAGAAGGGCCCTTTGGTGTCACGATCAGTATTTTAAATAGTCTGATATTTATTTTCAGGAAAACACATGCTAAAATTGGTTTGGGTGGGACATAGAACACAGAACTCCTAAGCAGCCTGCTGGATTGATGAGAGATTGACATGAATACAGAATATCCACAGACATCCAGGACAGCTATTAGTTCTGATATTTTTTCATTACATGAAATATAGTTGTATGCATGCTGTATTTTTCCTAATAAATTTTGTAAGGACACACTGTCTTACTTTTCTTAATGCTCTTTTCCTATTACTGAAACTTTACAGAGCGTGGGTTGCCTGATAGTTTCTCATTTCTCAGACGTGGTCGAATTTTGGTTGGTCTTGTTTTATTTGTGTTTTCCTAATGCTTGATTGGCTTTCATCCTAGAGGGACATGCTGGTTCCTTTTTTGTATGTGATAACTAAAACTGATAATGCAATTTTTTCTGTTATTTTTATACCAGTTCCACCATTTGACGGTAATCATAGATGAAAATGACATGTTTAAGAGCTGTGATTTTGACTAAATTCCCAGTGCTGAAGATATTAATCTGGAGATGATGCCTTGTGTGTAAGAAGTAGGAGGCTGTGGGCATTTTATTCAGGCTGAACCTGATGGGTGAGTGAATGGGGAGGGTCCGTTATAAAAGCAAGATCTTGAGCTTTACAAAAGCTGAATAAGAACATATTCCAGTATGGAGGCTTCTCTTACCCATCCTCCTCCTCTCTCTAGAAGGAATGGGGTGTTATGATATAGGGCCCTAAAGGAAAGAAAATAAAGAGTTTCAGTTGGGAGGAGAATGTTGAAAGGTTAGAGTTCAGAAGAAGGTGAGCTAGGTTGGTGAAACTGGGGTTTCTCAGGCCACTTTGTGGTACATAGGAAAATCTGGGCAGGGACCTATCTTGACATCCCAGGGAACAATAGGACAGACTATGCGAGGACATGCTGAGAGCATGCCATAGCCTTGCCAGATGCCTGTCAATCAGTGTTTCCAGGACTTCCCTGTAGCACTCCCCCAACACCCCTCCTCTTGCTGGGATCACTCCCAGAATGGCACTGGTAAGATAACACTGCCTAGGGAGTAAGAAAGAAGAAACTAAAATTAGCTCCCTAGACCAAATCAGCCTAGGGACCAATGCCTAGTTTTTCCAGTGGGAACACAGGACCCAGACAGGTCCAGCCTAGAGCAGTAGTGGCTCCTTGCAGAGGACTCACCAAGGCCTTTGTGCTTCCCAGAGGGGCCGGGACTGCAACTCCCTATTCAGCACAGCCTGCAGCTGAAGTCCTGTGAGTACCTAGAGCCTCAGTTCCAATCCTGTCAAGGAAATTTAAGCCCTGTTTTTCCTCCTGGGCCTGACATTTGGGAGTACTTGGAAGGCTGAAAAGGAAGAGCCTCCAGAAGGGAGAAAGGATGCCATGCCAGCTTCTCGCTTTATCTGTCATAAGGTGTTGCCTATACATTTTTCTTACTTTGTTTTGTGTAGTTTTGGTTTAGAATTTTATTTTTTGAGGGTGTAAGAAAACGTTTTTGCTTGTTTTTTCATTCAGTTGGGTTTATTGGTTTGGTTTTTGTTGGTATTTTTTGTTTTTTGAGACAGGGTCTCACTCTGTAGAATAGTGGGCCTTGAACTTCCTTAACTGGTTATCCTTCTGCCTCAGCCTTCCTACTGTTATTACAGTCATGAGCCATCGTGTGTGGCTGCAATGGCTTCAGTGCACTTGTGGTTATATGCCACAGAGAGAGTTAAATGTTTGTTTTTGTTTCCGTGCATGGTGTTTGACTGTCTGGCGGGTGGGGGTGCGTAGAATGGGCTTAAGGGCATAAGGGCAGAGCTTCTCAGGGTGTAATAAGGAAGGTGAAGCTTAAAATAGTCTACTAATGCTTGTAGAAATGTTCTAGCTCTGATAGAAATGATCCTTTTCCCCACAACAGTTCTTTCTTTGGGTTCAGAGATAACAAGAGGACCTTAGATAAACTACAAAGGGTCCAGAAACTTGGAAGAGTTTAAAAAAAAAAACTTTTCCCCCTATCCCTTTACCTCTAACTGAAATTTACTGTATTTTTCAAGGAAGAATGCAGTTAGCAAGTGGTTGCAGTATTACTGGTTTGTATAACTTGTTCACCAGAATAAATCACAGACATATCATGTTACACTGTGGCAGTGATCCTGAAATTACATTTATACTCACCATCACTTACAAATTATTAATAGATCTTGTTGTTTACCATATCATATGGTTTTAAAAATATTTTGACATCAGTATTTCAATATAGTCTGTTTCTTTTAATTCTAGGTATTTTACTTTATCTACTAAACAAACATTGAAAAGGATCAACAGACTTTGACTTCATCACTGCCAGTGTCATCAAAAATAAAAAATTTAAAAAAATTTAAATGACCACACTATAGGATCTCAAAGAAGTTCCTTGTTTGTAGTACACACATAATAACTCTTTGATTAGTAAACTAAAGCAAAGGAAAGCTACAAAATAGACTATCTGGGATTTTGTCCCTTTCTAATTGAAGTGCAGTTCACCCAAGGGCCTAAACTTCAGGAAGTCGTGGATCCATTTTTCTCTAGAAGCTCATTATAATATAGACTGCTGTGAACTTACTGCATTTTCTTCACCAGTGTAGTCCCCAATATAAATAGTCAAAAGGAAGAGTCCCCAAATAAAATATTGAAAAGGGAATCCCTGTGGACTATCAGAAAAAAATGATATGCAAATGAAACTTCCATTACAATAGTCTCTGGAATTCAACATGACACTCCAAGGCTAAGGACCTGCAAGCTTCGGTGTAATTAAAGTTGAAGCAAGAGAGAGGAATATATGTTTGTGCTACAATACAAAGAACAAGATGAAAGTAGGGAAATGAAGATTATATTTCTATCTCTCCTAGTACCTTGATATAAGGTTCTCAGCAAATGTCTTAACTTCTACAGCCTTAGTTTCTACCATCTCCAAAGGGAGGGTATTAGCTCTTCCATTATGTGCAATACTTTTGAAAAGTACAAGGTTATATGTTCTAGGTCCATGCTAATGAGACAGCCATGTAACAGCCATGTGACCTTAGTAAAGCCCCTGGTCCCTTCTGAGTCTTGGATTCTCTAAGTTGAAAAAAATTAACTTATCAACAGGATCCATTCCAGCTCTGAGTGTTTCAAATATTAAATAAGGAGGAATAATCATAAAAAACACCAGCATATATACTATAGTTTTTATCTGTTTTGTTCCCTAAGGTAGCTGAGAAGAAAGAGCTTTTGTGAGGAAATAGGAGTAGAGAAATGAATATTATAAGAGCCATAATTTCTTCTAACAGCCCTGTGAAGTATGAACTATCATTTTTACCTATACATGAGGAAATAGAACCACAAAGAAGAGAATAGTAATGGAAATCAGCAATCAACATAATAAAATGTTATATTTTAATTTGTCTTCATTGGCATATAACCATTATATATTGTGATTGGTTTCATGAAGGAAATTTTTTCAAATGTATCATGTTCTTTGACCATATTTACATTGCCTTTCTCTTTCTCCCCACTCTGTCCCTCTTTCTCTATTCTATTTCATTCCTCCAGACCATCTCACTTCTACTCTCACATATATATTTAAATAATTTTATTTGTCTAAACAAAATCTCGGGGGTGTGGTTCTACAAGTGAGAGAAATCACACTTCTCTTTCTGAATCTGATTATTTTGCATAATATGATATCTAATTGTAACAATTTCCTATACATGACATAATTTTGTTCTTTTTTATGGTTGAATAAAACTCCAATGTGTACATATATCACATTTTCTTTACCATTCATCTATTAGGTTCCTAGTTTGATTCCATAACTTGGCTATGTTACTACAGTAAACACAAATGCTCAAGTAACTCTGGTATATTGACTTAAAGTTCTTCAGGTATGTAGGAAGGTGTAGTATAACTGGGTCATCTAGTAGTTCTATTTTTAGTTCCTTTTTTATTCTAGATGTTTTTATTCCAGATTCATCTGTTTTAAAATGTTAACTTTGGGGTTGAAGAAAAGGCTTAGCAGTTAAGAGCACTGGCTAGTCTTCCAGAGGACCTGGGTTTGGTTCCCAGCATCCATATGGCAGCTAACAACAATCCATATCTCCAGTTCCAGGGTATCTGATGCCCTCCTCTGGCTTCTGGGGGCTTTGCACACATAGGTACACATATACACATGCAGGCAAAACACTCATACACATGAAGTAAAAATAAATAAATCAAAAATATTTATTCTAGTTATTAATCTTCCATTAAGTGTATAGCTAGCAAAGATGTTCTTCCATTCTGTAACTCTGTTAATAGTTTCCTTTGTTGTGAAGAAGCTTTAAATTTTATATAATCATATTTGTCAGTTTTTAGTGATTTCCTGTGCTAGTGAAGTCCTTTTCAAAAAAGCCTTTCCAATGCCTGTATCTTGAAGTATTTTTCTTGTTTTTATTCTAGCATGCTGAGAGTTTCAAGTCTTACATTAAGGCCTTTGATCCACTTTGAACTGATTTTTGTACAGGCTGAAACATATGGGTCTAGTTTCAATCTTCTACATGTTAATATCCAGTTTTCCTAACACCGTTTGTTGATGAGGCTTTCTTTTCTACAGAATATTTTTGACACCTTTGTTGAGAATTTGATAGCTGTAGGTGTGGGTTTCTTTCTATTCTGGTGATTTTTTTCTCTGATTTTTTGCCAGCACCATGCAGATATTGTTGCTGTGGCTTTGTATTATAAATAAAATTATGTAGTGTGATCCTTCTAGCATAGGTAGTTTTAATAAGGATTGTTTTGGCTATTGAAGTTCTTTGGGCTTCCATATGAATTTTAAGATTATATTCTCTGTTTCTGTGAAGACTGTTTTTGGAATTTTGATTGCGATTGAATTTAACATTTAGATTGCTTTTGGTAACATGGCCATTTTCACAATATTAATTCTTCTAATTAATAAGCATCTGAGGTCTTTCATTTTTTACCGTTTTCTTCAGTTTATTTCTTAGGTTATGTTTCATTACAAAGGTCTCTTCAAAAGTTAGTTTATTCGAAGGTATCCTTTGAAGCAATTGTGAATGGAAGGGTTTTCACAGTTTCTTCTTCAGCATTTTCATTATTGACATTACAGAAAGATCGATGAGTTGTGTATGTCAATTTCATATTCTGCTATTTCACTGAAAGGGACTATCAGTTCTAAGAGGTTTTGGGGTTTTGTTGTTGTTGGGTTTTTTTTTTTTTTTTTTTGGTGTGTACTACATGTGTGAAGTTGGTCTCTGTATATAACATTATATGGTCCACAAATGAAGATAAATTGACTTCTGTCTTTACTATTTGAATTCCTTTTTATTTCTTTTTCTGTCTTATTGGTCAAGCTGAGACTTCAAGGTGTATGTTCATTAACATGGGTGAAAAGGGACAGCCTTGTTCTTTATGGTAGAATAAAACTCCATTGTGTATGTATACATTTCCTTTTTAAATATTTAATGTATCATTATTATTTTATGTGTATGAGTGTATTGCCTGCATGTGTGTAAATGCACCCATGTCATGCAGTGCCCATGGAGGTCAGAAGAGAGCATTGGATCCCCTGGAACTGGAGTTATGGATAGTTGTTGGCTTCCATGACATCACATTTTCTTTACCATTTATTTGTTAGATACCTAGGTTGGTTGCATAACTTAGCTCTCATACTACAGTAAACAAGATGTGTAAGTAACTCTGGTATGTTCATGTATGTATCCAGAAATAGTATAGCTGGATCATATAGTAGTCCTATTTTTAGAACTAGAATTAATATTCTAGATATTAATTCTGATTTTAGTGGAAATGCCTTAAGTTTTTCCCCATTTAATATAATGTTTGATGTAGGTTTGTCTTATATAATCTTTATTATACTGAGTTATATTTTCTTCTATCCTTATTTTCTTCAGGGTATTTGTCATAAAGGATTATTGGACTTTATCTAAAGCTGATTTAGAATCTATTTAGATGATAGTATAAGTTTTATTTCTTTTATAGAGATAATATTCACTATTTCTATATTTATTTTTTTCTAACCTCTCACAGTCTACTGTTTACTGCAATCCTCCCCTGCTTTTCCATGATTCTCACCCCTTTTGGGAGTCATGAATCAGATACTTTCTTTCAGATTCCTGAGGACATATGTGAGTTGTTTGTCCCTGTTCTGCCATCTTCCAATTCAATCTGACTTCTATCTTTAAAGATAATAAAAGGGGCATGTTAGCATAAGTTGCCCTTCTAAGGATCCAAGTAGTTGTTGAGAACTACATTCAGGCACTCTTTGAAGTGATTAAGGTAAGTCTTACCATTATCTTCTCATTAGAGCTGAAGAAATTGGCACAGAAAGATTAAGTGCCCCCTAAGTCACATAGTTAATAAGTGGTAAATTCATGATTAAAGCTCATTTCTAGACCAGTGTTTTACAAGTACCTCTACTGTGGGGACAAAACAGATTCATACAGAAGTTACAATACCATGTCATATTTATTATAGAATCATAAGAGCACAAACTGTGAGAAATTAGCTCAGTACTAAGAAATCTAAGTGGTAGAGAGAAGGAAGATGTATGTAGGGAGGCATCATTTTCATCCTTTACCGCTGGATTTCAGAGTATAATTAGGAGAGTCATAGGAAGTGAAGCTGAAGAGGTTGGTAGAGATCCAAGATGTTGATATATAACTTAAATGATAAAGGAAGCATTGTTTGGCTCAGTAGCACAACCACTAGGGCGGCTGAGGCAGGAGAATTGTAAGTTCAAGACCAACTTTGTCTCAGACTTAAAAGGTAAAAAGAGTACTAGGGATGTAGGTCAGTAATAGAGCACTAGAATGTACAAAGCAGTAGGATAAATCCCCAGTTCTGGAAAGAAAAGAAGAAAACAAAACAAAACAAAAAAAGCAAAGAGAAATTATTAATTTAGAATAGGCCACATTTGTATTTTGAAATTTTGTCATTTTAGCCACAATTGTGGGGGAGATATTGAAAAGGGAAACTAATTAGGAGACAACTGTAACTATTGAAGCAAAAGACAGTGGAGGCCTGTATAAAACACTGGAATGGTTATGAGACCTGAGGGAGACAGATGACCTGGAGAGATCTCTAAGATATAAAATCCATAAGAATTGATGGAATTGAATGGGACTGGTAAAAGGATAAAGAGATATGAGAACTGGATTGTGTCTAGGGGATTTAGTTTTGGTAGATGATGAGGAACTGACCATATGGATTAAGTCTTTTGGTGGTAGTGGTGGTAGTATGATACTGCTGACCAGGAGTACCTGTAAAAATTCAATGGACATATGTCTGGAACTCAGAAGAGAACTGGGATCAGGTGTTGGAGCAAAACACTGGAAAGCCTCAATATAAAAGTGAGGGCTAAAGCTCTATGACTGAAGAGGATGGAGGAGAGAACCAGGGAACATAAATAGTTCAGTGAAGAATTGTGTGTAGAAAATCAAGAGAATGTGCTCTCTAAGAAGCTGATAGGCATTTATAGAAAGGAAGGTTCCAATAAGGATAGATATTTCAGAAATCTGGAAAGGGAACTGAGGCTGTGGCTCACTGTTAAAATGTTTGCCTGTCATTCCTGCAGCCCTGAGCTAAATACCTAGTACTTAGTACCTAGTACCTAGGAAAGTCAGAAAATAAAAGATTTGTGAAACATCCAACAAACTTATCCACAAAGATTACCTTTTTAAGAGCTTTCCTAGTGTGTGTGTGTATATTTGAGGGTGGAAGGAACCACACTGCATAGGGTAGAAAAGTGAATAGGTAGTAGATATATAAACAGATTACTATTAAGATTTGTTTGGTAAAGAAGGGAGAGATGGAGGAAAAGGTAGCTGTAGAAGTGAGACAAGAGACTACAGAACTTGTTTGCTTTGTTCCTAAGTAAAGTAAGGAGGAGGAGCTAATGTAAAGAGACTGAAAGTATAAAGAAGCTCATCTTTGAAGCTCTAGTATAGAGGTGGTTATCTTTATCCTAACAGTCCCTTGAAGCATGGACTGTCGTTTCTGTCTTGTAGATAAATAAGCTGAGTCACAAGGAAGAGAACAGCCTTGCCCAAAGTACTTTACTAGGATTTGAGTCACAAACCTAGTTCTCTCTGTTTCCCAAAATTCTATTTCCACTACACTCCAAGAATGAATAAATAATAACCCTGTATGCAGAGCTCATGCTGACTGGCAGGGATAGGGCTAAAGTTGAGGGTGACCTCACTCACCCACCTCATAATTTTCTTAAAGAGGTTTATACTTGCAGCTCACATCTAACAAAGAAGGGTGGGGTAGACAGTGCATAAATGGAGGTACAAGGCCTTGAGATCTGGGCTGCAGAATATGGGAAAGTAGGGACAATCAAGCTCTGAAAACCCTACTAGCTCACCCTGATGACATTACAAATTGAGGTGAGAAAACTTCACTTAGAGAACCTGGAACAGGAATGGCAATGATCAAGAAGAATTAAGCTAAGTCAGTCACTGTGTCATAGGTAATTTCTTGGGGCCTGAAGATCATGGATAGAAAAGAGTTGAGGTTTGAGTCAAGGCTGTAGACTGCATTTGGTAGAGAGGGTGGAATAAAGCTTGAGTCAAAGGATGGGAAAGCAGAAAGTTCTGAGGAGGTGTTGGCAATCAAAGGAACTCCTGGCTTAAAGTAGTCTTGAGGGAGAAAGTAGTTGTCACTATAGAGACCTTGGTCTGAAAACATCAACTGTTTCCTACCATCTACCTGCCTTCACCTTAAATGTATTTTTTGTAATGCTACTGCTTCGTTTAATAATCAGTAAATACCCTTTACATTCATTTATTGATCCCCTCTGTTCCTAAACCACGGGTCTGAATCTTAGAGGAGGTTACAAAAAGCTTAGAAGAAGTAGATTTGGTCATAGATGAGAGGACATGAAAACAGTTGAATTTCATTAAAAACACCAAGAGGTGGAGTTGTGGTCCTCCCTTCACCCCATTCTGGTATAATGTCCATCAATGATATCTTGATACCATTAATTCCTATTCTATTTCCTTGGCAACTGTCAGGTCTCAGCCAACTCATTAAGTCACATTCTGAACTGAGGAAGATGCATCTACCAAATCTTCGGCCATGATATATGCCCACTGGCAATGGAGAAACACTAAATGATTATAAAGTCCTTGCCACACAGTTTATACCCTAATGGAACACAGATAAGAAGGAATGTGTCGGATTATAGATGAATTCCAATTATGATATTTTGGAGTTCTCAAGAGGAACTAAAGGAACACTTCACAGAAGTAGTTTGAAGGGTAGGCAGAATAGAATGTGCAAAGGCACCAAGCTGTGAAATGACTTGACCTATTTTGGCAGCCATCCTGAGTCCTGAAATAAAAAGAGAGTAAGAAACAGGATACCCATGGATAAGTAACCTAATTATGAAGTTCAGGGAGCTAAATGTGAGTCTGCCATTCCAGACTTTTGATAAGGACCCTTTTTCTTTCCTCCTCTTTTGTTACCTTCAGATCTGGAATTTCCTCCTCCTCATAATGAGAATAGTCCTATTCCAACAAATCAGGATGAACCTCATGGACATCACCAAGATCTTCACCCTTCTGCAGCCCGAAAAGGAGGAGGAGGACACTGACACTAGAGAGAAACAGGCTATCAATCAAGCAGTGTATGACAATGACTCCTACATGTTGGACCAGCTTCTAAGCCAGGAACGCTACAAACGTTTCATCAACAGTAGGAGTGGCTGGGGCATACCTGGGACACCCTTGCGTTTAGCAGCTTCTTATGGCCATTTGAGCTGTGTGCAGGTCCTCTTGTCACATGGCGCTGACGTTGATAGCTTGGATGTTAAAGCACAGACACCACTTTTCACTGCTGTCAGTCATGGTCATTTGGACTGTGTACGCATGCTTTTAGAAGCTGGTGCCTGTCCTAGTGGTAGCATCTACAACAACTGTTCTCCTGTACTTACTGCTGCACGTGATGGTGCTCTTTCCATCCTGCAGGAGCTCCTAGGGCATGGTGCAGAAGCCAACGTCAAGGCTAAACTACCAGTCTGGGCATCAAATATAGCTTCGTGTTCTGGCCCCCTCTATTTGGCTGCGGTCTACGGGCACCTTGACTGCTTTCGCCTGCTTCTGCTCCACGGGGCAGATCCCAATTACAACTGCACTGACCAGGGCCTGCTCTCTCGTGTTCCACGGCCACGCACCCTCCTTGAAATCTGCCTTCACCATAATTGTGAGCCAGAATATATCCAGCTTTTAATAGATTTTGGAGCTAACGTCTATCTTCCATCTCTCCCATTGGACCTGACCTCACAAGATCATAAAGGCATCCAATTGCTGCTACAGGCCCGAGGTGAGTGGTGATCAGGCCAACCCCACAGGTTTCTTTGCTTGTAGGTCTCAGGGTCCCAAATATCTAATCTACTTCCTCTGTGATGAACTGGAGAGAGCTCCATGTTCTGCACTCCCCCAAAGCCCCTGTGGAGAAAAACTTAGGGATTCCCATATTAGTGAAAGGGTCACTAAGATGTGGTAGATAGAAAACACTTGTTCAATTTTTGGTCTTAGATCTGTCAATGACTGTCTTTAGACACTGAATTTGTCCTTTCTAGGCTTTAATACATCCCCACTGGTACCATCAATTGGGGAAAAGTTTGGGACATTTCATAGAAGGGAGAGGGCATCAGGGCTATAGTAGCCAGGGCAGAGTAGATGTAGGTACAGATGGGATAAGTACATTGAAAATTAATTCTCTGTTTCTCATTGCTGTAGCTGTTCCACGGTCACTCCTATCCCAGGCACGTTTAGTTATCCGCAGAGTCTTGTCCCAGGCCAGCCAGCAACAAGCCATAAACCAGCTGGATATTCCCCCTGTGTTGATTAGCTACCTCAACTACCAGTGATAATCTTTCAACCCTCCCAGAAACCCAGCATACCTCTACAAAATATCTGGCAACCAAGGTTTCTGGGGGGTAAGACAGCTCCATTACTCAGCAGGAGCTATTCTGACATACTGTCCTCCACAATAAAATCCTGAACAAGTTAAGTCTTGATGGCTGTGGTGTGTGCTGTTTATGTGTGGGAAAGGGAGCGGGGTGCTTGGGAAAGGGATCTTATCAGCTATAGGAAAGAATGGCTATAGATATAGCGCCTGACAAGCATGACAATCTTGGCTACAGAAGAGTAAAGAGAGAAAAATGGCCCATTTCTGTACCCTTCCACCAAGGTCCTCTATAAGAGTTTGATGCCCTGATATAAAAATTTTGAAGAATTCAAATGGGAAGAAGAATCTAAGTGGGATTTTGAGGGTGGTTACTTCAAGAGCCTATGGAGATGCTGTCTATCCCCATAATCAAAGCTTTGAGGGAGTAGACGTCAACTTCAGCATCCCCATCATCTATAGGCTCTGGCTAAGCCTTTGAAAAGGGCACAGAGTGGACTGTTCTATGGGGTATGGGACATAAATTCTTTGGTTGATCCGTAAAAATATATGGACACTTTGAGAATTTAAAAAAACACCTGGAATTACTAAATTCTTGTAATTGAGGATACTGTTTGGAGTATACAAAATTCTAGGCAAAAAGGAGGTCTAAAACAACTCAATTTTCTGCATGAAGTAATTGGGGCTGTGAAAAGATTAAGTATCTGTATTTTGAGTAACTCAGCTCTCCAGACTGCTTCCAAGTGTATTTTGTTTTCTAGTTGCCAGTAGTGGCATTGCATAGACAAAACACAGTACCTTGGTCTTTTCTCCTTCCCTGACATCACTATTCCTTTCTAGACAGTAGGTCAAGGGTTGGAATAGATAATCTCAAATTCTGATGATAATTCTTCCAAGATTTCTTTCCCTAGGAGGTGTAAAGAGGAAGTAAAAGCAGTATTACTAAATGAAATCTTCCCTTTGCCTTTTGTCCTTTGTTGACATTGACCTCAGTGAGAGCCTAGTACCCATATTCCACTAGCTTCTGCTGCCAACTTTCAGGAAAGATGAGTCATAACAAGTTCATAGTCCATGTAAGCTCTAGACACCTTCCCTTTCTTGTAAAGAAGAAAAAAAAATTGGAAAGAGTCTATATTACAGTCTCTATCCTGCTTGCTAGCTCCTTGCTAGCCAATCTCTATAAATAGACTTTCTTTATTCAATAAAAATGCAGTGGTTGAGCTGACAGCAGCCTCTAGTCTAGTGACCCCTCCAGTGCACAGGCCTGTAGGTCCTGAAACTGCTAAAACACCACTACCTACTCTGTTTTAGCAACCTTGGCCTCAATTGAAAATGGAAGTCATTCTTTCTAATGGACTTGCCCTGTTCCAGAAGTTACGTTTCTAGAACTTAATCATTTGACTCCACAGCATTGCCAGACTCTACGATGGGTACTTCATTTCAAACACCACGTGACACTTAGTTTCTTTCCATTTTCCCTTTTCCTTGCCTTCTTTCCTATCCATTTTTTAGTTATATTTTTTAAAGGAAACTATTATTTTGAAATGCGAACCCAGCAGACAAGAAGAAATAACTAAAATAAGAGCAGAAATTAATGAAATAGAAACAAAGAAAACAATACAAAGAATCAAAGAATCCAAGAGCTGGTTCTTTGAAAAGATAAACAAGATAGATTCTTAGCCCAGTTAACCAAAAGAAAGAACAACTCCCAATCAACAAAATCAGAGATGAAAGGGGAAATATCACAACAGACAACAAAAAGATACAGAACATTATTTGGGAACACTTTAAAAACCTATAAGCTATTAAATTTGAAAACCTAAAAGAAATTGATGTGTATCTAGAATCATGGGAATCCCCAAAATTGAACCAAGAAGAGATCAACAGCTTTAATAGACCCATAACACATAAAGAAATTGAAAGAGTAATACAAAACTTCCCAACTAAAAAAAGCCCAGGCCCAGGTGGATACACGCAGAATTCTACCAGACTGTTAAAGAAGAACTATACCCAATACCACTTAATTTATTCAAAAAGATAGAAACAAAGGGGAAACATCCAAATTCCTTCTATGAAGTGGGCATCACTCTAATACCAAAATCAGGAAAAGATACAACCAAAATAGGAAACTATAGACCCATTTCCTTAATGAACAGATGTAAAAATTCTCAACAAAATACGTGTAAAACACATACAGAGACACATCAAAAAGATCATCCACCATTATCAAGTTGGCTTTATTCCAGAGATGCATGGATGATTCAATATACATAAGTCAATAAACATCATAAATCATTTGAATGGAATCAAAAACAAAAAAATCACCTGGTCATGTCGATAGATGCAGAGAAGGCCTTTCACAAAATTCAACAAGCATTTATATTAAAAGTCCTACAGGGAATTAGGCTGGAGGGAACATACCTCAACATAATTAAAGCTATATACAACAAACTCACAGCCATCATCATTCTAAATGGAGAAAAAAGATGGAAGTATTTCCATTAAAATGAGGAACCAGACAAGGATGTCCACTATCTACATTCCTTTTCAATATAGTGCTTGAAACTCTTGCTACAGCAATAAGACAAGAGAAGGAAACTAAAGGAGTACTAATTGGAAAAGAAGAGGTCAAATTATCCCTTTTTGCAGGTGATATGATATTAATATAAGAGATGCTAAAGGTTCCACCAGAAAACTTTTAGAACTGATTACAACTTTCAGTAAAGTGGTAGGTTATAAAATTAGTATACAAAAATCAGTACCCTTCCTACATACCAATAGCAAACAGTTGGAGAAAAAGTATATAAAAGTGCTCCCATTAACAATAGCCTCCCAAAAAAATATCTCATAATAAAGCTGACCAAAGATATTAAAGACCTCGACAATAAAAATTTTAAATCTTTAAAAAAAGAGATTGAGGATGACACCAGAAGATGGAAGGACCTTCCATGCTTATGGATTGGAAGAATTAATATTGTGAAAATGGCCATTTATAGATTCAATGCAATGCTAATCAAAATCCCCATGGCATTCTTCACAGTATTAAAAAAGAAATTCTAAAATTTATATGGAACCACAAATGACCCCAGATAGCCAAAGCAACCCTGAGCACAAAGAGTAATGCTGGGAAGGTTACTATACCAGATTTCAAACTATATTACAGAGATACCGATATAAAAACACCATGGTACTGGCACAAAAATAGGTCCATAGATTAATGGAACATAATTGAAGACAAAAACATGAGTACATGCAATTTGAGCCACCAGATATTTGACATAGGTGCCAAGAACACACAATGGAGGAAAGACAACATCTTCAGCCAATGGTGCTGGCAAAACTGGATCTCCACCTATAGAAGAATGAAACAACACCCTTATCTTTCATCTTGAACAAAAGTCAACTCCGAATGGATCAAAGACCTCAATGTGAAACCTGAAACTCTGAAACTGTTAGAAGAAAACATTGGCAATAACCTACAAGATATAGGTGTAGGGAAGGATTTTCTAAACCAGGCATCAATTGCTCAGGAATTAAGGTGAAGAATCAACAAGGGGGACCTCATTAAACTAAAAAGCTTCTGTACAGCAAAAGAAATGATCAAGAAAGTGAAGAGAAAATCCACAGAATGGGAGAAAAATCTTCACCAGTGACACATCTGACAGAGATTTTACATCCAGAATATATAAGGAACTCAAAAAACAAAGAATCAAGAAAGCAAGTAACCCAATTGAAAGATGGGCTAAGTATCTGAACAGAGAGTTCACAAAAGAAGAAATAAAGGTGGCTAAGAAACATCTTAAAAGGCATTCAACACTGTCAGTAATTAGGAAAATGAAAATTAAAACCGCTTAAAGATTTCATCTTACCCCAGTCAGACTGGCTAAGATCAAGAGAATAAATGATACCAAATGCTGGAAAGGATGTGGGGAAAGGGGCATGCTCATCCACTGCTGGTGGGATTACAAACTCATGCAACCCCTATAGAAAGCAATGTGGAGAACTCTTAAAAATCTAAAAATGTACCTACCATATGACCTGGTTATGCCACTCCTTGGCATATACCAAAAGGACTCATCCTATTGCAGAGACACTTGTACATCCATGTTTGTTGCTGCTCTTTTCACAATAGCTAAGAAATGGAAGCCACCTTTGTGTCCCTCAACAGATGAGTGGATAATGAAAACGTGGTACATTTTCATAATGGAGTTCTACTCAGAGGTAAAGAAAGAGAAAATCATGACATTTTCAGGTAAATGGATATAACTAGAAACTGTTATAATAAGTGACATAACAGACCCAGAAAAACAAATGATGTGTATTCTCCCTCATGTGGATCCTGTACACCAAATCCTTATAAGTGAGTGTGTGTCCAGACATAACTACAGGAAACAAAATAATGCAAAGGAACCAGGGAGGTAAAAGGAAAGAAAGAACCTGAGACAGAAGAATAGTAGGAAGCAGATGTTACTAAGGCATAAATGGATAAACTTGGGGATATTTAAGTGGGAGGGGGGAGGGAGGTTATACAAGAAAACTTTGGGATAAAGGAAAAGAAGGAGCTCAAGAGAAGTGGGACCATAAGAGACTGGTACTAGCAAGGGAGAAATAGGGAAAATGGGGACACTTTAAATGGGGAAACCCATGGTGGATGGCTTAGACAGGGAGAAGTAGAGGAGAGATAAATAATGCCTAGCTAGATTAAACAAAACAGAGGGAATCATATTAGTCCAACAACCTAATGACAAATTATGCATACAGTATCTCTATATGAGTCCATGTGTATAACTAAAGGCTACATAACAAGAAACAGTGCGATACAAGAAAAATCTTCTGTGAGGTTTTGGCCAGGGTGGTCCAAGAGACTCCTAAAATTAGGCTATTGCCACAGCCCTTGTTGACCTCCCAGAACTTAAAGGTAAGACCCTACTGCCAACGACAGAACATACTTCAGATACAGGATTTGGAACAATAGAGATGGAACTGAGCTTCAACCATTTCCCTTGAAGGCTAGCTCTCATAGCTTTAGAGAGAAATATGAAGGTGC